AGAGAAAAAAAAAAAGAAATTAAATAAAGAAAGATACCTCTCTCTTTTACTTTCATACGAGTTTATATGAACGTGTAAAGTGCGTATGTAACAGATTTTATTACGACATTCAAATATATATATATATAGTATATACATGAATCGTATGTTTTCGTAGAAAGATTTAATCGATAGAAATGAATACTTTTATCTTAACTAAACAAACAAAAAAATAAAATTATATACATATATTCATACATATACATACATGCATACGTTGTATGATATATTACATGAAAAAAAAGAGAAAAAAAAACAAATTAGATATTACGCGTTACGAATTTTGTATTTAAATATAATAAAATCGTAATAGAAAGAAACACACACACACACACACACACACATGCGCAATGTCTAGGTCGTTTCTTTCGCGAACTTAGTAGTTGATAGATAAGGCCTTGAGTATATTCCATTGATTATTTGAATCCTTCTTTCTTTAAAGCGCGAATAATCTTGCGTGTGTTCACGCGAAACGCGAGAATCAATCACGCGGTTCGCGTTTAAAATGTATAGACAATTTTTTCATGATCTTTTTTTCTTTCATCTTCTTTTTCTTCTTATTCTTCCTTTTTCTTATTCTTTATCCATAGGAATTTGATTAACGGAACGAACAACTCTTATTAGAAGCGACAAGAATAACTCGTTCGTATTAGAATCGTGATTTCCGCGAAAGTATTTTTTTCTTCAATTTTAATCTTCGTCCGAAGAAAATAATACGAATTTATTGGAAATTTATTATATAAAATTTCTTCTTCATTTTTTGTATATACGGATATTCAGTGTTCTGAGAATGTACTACAACAACATCAACAACTACGATCAACGATTTAATTGTAAATATTTTATTTTTATTTTCTCTCTTTCTTTTCTTATTTTTTGTTTTTATTAAAGTCAATCAAAGTTCATAGCTATGTGTACGTTAAAAAGATTCATAGAAATTCAACGGTACGAAATTTTCCATTGAAATCAATTAACATCTCTCTCTCTCTTTCTCTTTCTCTCATTCCCAATAACGTTTATTCGAAATCCAAAACGATATTTCGCGTTTATTGTTTAAATTTAATAAAAATTAAAAGCTTCTTCCACTGCGGAGAGACGAATAGACAAATGTCATGATAAACGTATTTATGCATTTAGTATTGTTTCTACATAAAGAGATGTAATAATAATGAATCATCATTATTAATATTATTATCAACATAGATCAATATCTATATCATACATCCAATATATTCCCAATAACAACACATTTATCATTTCTCGATTTATCCTGCTTAGTTAATGTGCTAATTTACACTTTTTCACGTTGTATCTCACACTTGTGGTGTTTGTTTCTTAAGCTTCTTTTTTTTTATAATCAGTTCGTGTTTCATGACCTTGCTAACAGGAAATCCAACGAGTGGGTAATATTTCCGTTTAGATTGCTTGTTGTGTTGTATTTTTTCTTTTTCTTTTATCCTCCTCCTTTCATGAGTCTCAGGACGTGAAATCAGTTTCCTTGCGTACTTCGAAGCTATGACAACGACGACAACGAAGACGAAACCCTGACGAAAGGCTCGTTAAATTTTCTCAAAAATAGAAAAGGTAATCGACGAATTTTGACGTCGATCGAATAAAGGAAAAAAGAAAAAATCAATTTTAGAAAATAATGCATTAATCATTGTTAGTATCCTCCATGACGAGATTATATTTTTTTTTTTCTAAAGTCGTGCGAAATTTTTATCGCCTCCCCCGTTTTAATTAGCATTCGCGTAGTAGAATTTGTTCTTTTTTGTTTATTCAGAAATTTGAGAAAGAGAAAAAGATAGAGGAAAAAAGAGAGTTCCGTGTGCGATTTTATATTCTAGAAACATTACGACAAATACATGGTTTTTTATCGTTCGATGAATTAGAAGAATATTATTCATAGTAAATTAAAATTTTTTAATATATTTTATGGATTATACAGTTCTAAATACGAAAACGACGAAGTATCTTTTATTATTATTCTCGTGATGAGAAACGCATTAAAATATACGTTGATTTGAATAACATGATTCGTATGTAACAAAACGTATTAAATAGAACAATTTTTATTTTAAAATTAGAAAAAAAAACATTTGATTTGAAAAATAAAATTAATAGATTTATATTTAATAATAAATATTTGTAACAATGAACACTAATAGTAAGTCAAAAATAATAGGGAAAGATTCATTCGATAAATTATTTCACAATATTACAATTATTTACATTATACGATTTCGTTGTTATTATATATTTTTATAATATAAATAATCGTAATATAAAATAAATCATAAAATTGTCTAAATTGTTTGTTTTACAATTAGTTCAATGTCATAATAACTAGCATAAATATGTATGACAAAAAAAAAATATAGAAATAAAAATATAAGAGAAGAACGTAAAATAGTTTATGTTATGTTGCATCTGAGTTACGTCACGTGCAATCTTAGTAATCTTGAAATTTCGCGAATTCTCCGAAACATCCCACCTTGCTAAATAAAGAGATAAGACTTTTATGAATTATTATAATGAAGTGGCCAATGAACCGATAGCATGACATTCGGAAATTTTATGAACTTTTTTTTACCATCTTCTTCTTCTTCCTTTTCTTTTTATTTTTTTTTATATCCACCTATAGTTAAATACAGTTCTCCGTCGTTCACATTTTACGCGTCGTATCTTTTCAGCATCTCTGTATGACTAATTAAAAAGCCGCCATAATGTTTCATTACATTGCCAGGAACGGGTCGTTAAACCGTAAAACGAACACCTCTTTGATTTTTCAAATTCTTCGGATTTTCTTCTTCGATCTGAATGAACACGAATATTGGATAAATGTTCAATTATAAATTAAATTATGAATATACCAATTCTTCTCCCCGAACCTAAAAACATTACTGAAAAACTTATGCTTGCAAAATTTATGATTGAAAAAGTAAGAAAAAATATCTAACATTTAAATCAGATCTTCTTGTCTATTTAAATTATTTCTTCTCTAATGGTTTAACTTTTAAATTCATATATTAAATGTACAAAGTAGATGTTACAATGATTTTGACATTTACGTCAAAATTTATAAAAAAAACAAAAACGTTACATTATTTTTCTTCCATTTGTTTATTCAATTAACTTATTTTCTTTTTTCGATATTGGGGAATAAAATTTTGTCCAAAAAGAAAAAATCAAAAAAGAAAAAGGACAACGACAATGTGTTGAAAAGGAACAAGAGATAGAACGTTATTCGTGAGACGAAACGACCTCATAAAGCGAGGATTCGTGCGTTAGACCGAAATCGAAAGCAAGACACGACTCGATCTCAAGGTGGAAGTCGAGAGAATCCTCTCAGGAAATTACAAAATCCGGGTCGAATGAGAGAACAAGAAAGAAAGAAAGAAAAGAAAAGAAAAGAAAAGAAAAGAAAAGAAAAGAAAAGAAAAGAAAAGAAAAGAAAAGAAAAGAAAAGAAAAGAAAAGAAAAGAAAAGANAGAAAAGAAAAGAAAAGAAAAGAAAAGAAAAGAAAAGAAAAGAAAAGAAAAGAAAAGAAAAGAAAAGAAAAGAAAAGAAAAGAAAAGAAAAGAAATATTCATCCAAACGTAACAAGGGGCTACCCTTTTTTCGTGTTCTTTTTTTCCTCATTTTTTTTCTTTTTTCGTCGAAACGAATCGTACATAAGGTAAAACCATATCCATACGTGTCGCGAATTTCAATACGAAACAACCATACATTGTCCGATATTAATCTTCGGTACTTTTATTTACTAATGTTAGTAAATAACTAAGTAAATAAATGTATGTATTAATATTTATATGCAACCTTTCTCGGTTAAGTTACACGACCATATATCGACATTTACATTGTGTCATTCATGTGACGCTAACACATAGTAGAATGTGCATGATTTTCTTCTCGAAAGATTTTCGAATCCCTATTTTGATCTCTCTCACTCTTTCTCTCTTATTCGTCATGAGAAGAAATCTCTCGAGAAAAAACGTTACGGTATATTAAATAGAATTCGAGAATTCACGTTGAAAAAAAAAAAACGGGGTTGCGTAGTTCCGATTCAATCAATTATACGAACGAATTAAAAATTGTAATCTTTCACGAGTTCAGCTACTAACAAAAAAGAAAAAGAAAGAGAGAGAGAGAGAGAGGGAGAGATAAAAAGAAAAGTACTAACTATTATTGATTAACGTGGATAGATTTTCAAGAAAACAATTTTCTTGTCAAGACTGTACGGGCACGACTATGGGCAAATCATACGACTCGAGTACGTCAGCTGAGAAGATGAAATCTCAACGTTGGTCGGTGCATATTAAAAACCGCGAATATACATATATGTATCTCTAAGTATATATATAGGTATATATTATACGTACACACATTAACATATAAGTATTGATATAGCTATATATTTATATTTATATCTATATAGATAATAATATATATGTATATGCGCGCATCTTCTTATATGTTTAAAAGAAAAAAAAGCGATGTATAGAAGCGAAGAGCTTGCATAATATATAATCTCAGTATATACTCCAAGAAAGATATGTCATAGCTTAAGA